TATCTAGGTCATATCTTTAAAGATACCACTGCAGCCTGACCCCGGCCGCTGTATACAAAGCAATCTGATAAATGTGGAATGGTCCTGTTTGGCACGCATGACCGGCTGTTTGGCTATGTCAACAATTGCGCCGATCGTCTGGACTTTGGATTGCTATCAGAGCGGGGTGGGTGTCGTAGGGCAGTTTGACGTGGACACAATACAAGTCTGCCTCAATACAAAGGTTAACAGTGCGCCCTACTGGGGGCGGGGCCGGGGGGGGGAGGCAAGTGGCTTTCGATGACACCGCAGTCGACTTGATTTCGCTGCTGTCATAAGTAGATGCAACCCAAGTCGACTACGCCGTGATTAGGTTCGTCCGACCCTTGCGGTAAAGGTGGGTCTCGTCATCTACGTCTATCTGTGCGCGTTTCCTCCGAAAACAGACTGGCGTCACGTTGTCCCATGATGTGGATATTTTGCGTTCCAAGGATTCTGGTTAGGATCGTAACTGCTGTCGTACGTGCTGGCAACATGCCTCGTGTCGGGACTGATATCCAGTGAGACACGACGTCTAATCTTTTTACTAGTCGGTGGGAAGCCTCAAAGTGGTCACTGGTGCATGTAAGAGGGGAGTGACAGTATGATTTGTATAGTGATTTATTCTCACGGCTGTGGCACATTCCTCGGGCGGAGGGGGTTATGCAGTGATTTACCCTACTAACAACACCGGTGTCAGCTAAAAGCCCAAGCACGCCTGTTTCGCCGACCTTATGCCGCTGCCTGACGCAGATGCGAGGGGTTCGGCTCGTCAGTGGGTCCCCCAGCTTTCCCCGTGTGTTTCTGGTATATTAACTCCAGTTTCGAAAGATTTGCTCCAAGTTCGCGCATTAGTTCCCTCTAAAATTAAACAGGGCAAGTTGAAACTGGAGTTCACATACCAGAAAACACACGGGGGAAGCTGGGGGACCCACTGACCAGCCGAACCCCTCGCAGCTGCGTCAGGCAGCGGCATAAGATCGGCGAAACACGCGTGTCTGGGCTTTTAGCTGACGCCTGTGTTGTCAGTACGGTAAATCATTGCACAATTCTATACTACTGGCTGCCTGTTGGCGGTTTGTGAATATTGGGCGGTTATTCCGCAGTAGTTCAAATATTCATATCAAACTCTGGACCGTGCCTGAAAAGGTCTGTTTCGGAAGATTTGCTCCAAGTTTGCGCATTAGTGCCCTCGGAAATTAAACAAAGCATGAAGAGGTTATGTTGCCGCACCTGAAGTAAACGAACCCCAACCGTCTGTAATACAGGGCCGGTGGTAATAGGGGGTTTTTACAGGTGGGGCCGGGGAACGCACAGGCGACGATGTCAGTTAACTGTAAGCAAAAGAAAAGCTATTGGGAATGCGCGATTGTACTTTGAGTAGTTGAGAAATAGTTGTCCTGGCCCCTAACCCCTGACCCATAACCATAACCCCTAACCCCAAACCCTAACCGCAACCCCCAATCCTAACCCTTAACCCTAACCCATAGCCCTAACCTCTAACAGTATTGTGTCCATCGGGTGCGGCTACGTAACCACATCTTACCCTCAAATTACTACACCTAACACCCTTTAATTAGTCAGGATTCACAATAAATTATGGTTTATAAAGTTTCCAACTGACGGGATGACTCTACCTGCATCGGGACGGACGATCAGGCCACAAAGACTCCTTCATAATGTGCTCTTAGCATTCTTATGTGGGTGGGAACCGAGCCGTGCTTACAGTAGCTTGGTGTATGCAATGTGAACGTGGTCGTGTGAGGGACGCGTAGACGGACCGCCAGGCCTTGTCAGTCATTGCGCACAAGCTTACCTCCGATTCCCTTGAGTTATTCTCCCGCATTGGAGTGTGGTGGATATCGGAAGGGGCTGGTGAGGTAGGCGCTGTGCAAGCCTGCTTCACTAGAGACTAAATCATTCAAAACACAACTTTACGCTCTACTTCGGACAGCAGCGGTACGTAGTGAACGCATTATTCACTGGCCTCCCTGACCGATGGTTTCCTATCCCGTCGGTCCTTTTACTCATAACCGTGCTGTTGAAATCCCAGTTAGGCCCACCAAAGTAATATAGACAGTTAGGGGCGCGCCTGGCGTGCCCCAGTAACCATGTGTGTGATGGCCACGGACGAAAAATTGAAAGGCCTAACGGTACTCTGGGTTGCCGTTCGAACGTGGCATGCCAGTTACATCGATGCCTTGAGGTGCGGGACCTAGGAAATAGACTGACAAGTGCAGGCCAGTTTACATATATGAATCAGGCTGCAACTTAATTCTATAATATTGAAGTTACCTCAAGATGCCGGCTTTCGAATGAATGTCCGTCCGGCTGCATGCAAAGACAAATCTCTGTAAAAAAACGACTACTTAATTAGCATGCATTTTTCTCATCAATTTTCAATGTCCTTAAAAATTCAATTATGTTTTATGGAAAACATGCATCAAAATATTAATCCTTTTGCTCATTCGGCGGACAATGACGTCCTCTCTCCATCTTATACTCGAAGGGGGGACACAATTCGGTTTTAAAAATTTTCTAATTGTGCAACTTTTAAATACCGTGCAATGGCCGTTCATAAATCGTCAGGTCTGTGCATTTGTCAACGTGGCTTTTATAGTTAACCATATGGATCAAATCCACTGCTAAATTTTATGAAACCTGTATGGTCCCCCTTTATTACCGTAGAGAAATGTATGGTTTTTCGTACGAGGAAAATATACGGCTTGTAGTTTGGAAACCCTGAATCCAAGGGTAACGGTAGAGCGGGTTCAAAATTATTCGGGGATTGAAAAAAGTTCTTGAGGACCGAATTATACCCTTTGTTCGAGAATAAGCTTGGAAGAGAATGTCATTGTCTACCGAATGAGTAGAAGAATGAATACTTTTATGCATGTTTTCCATGAAATATAATTCAATTTTTGAGGACATTGAAAATCAATGAGAAAAATGCATGCTAGGTCAGTAGTCGTTTTTACAGAGTATAGTTTTCGCATGCAGCCGGAAGGAAGTTCGATTGAAAGCCGGCATCCTGAGTTAACTGAAATATTATAGAATTATGTTGCAGGTTGACTAGTTTTACAATCCCACTTAATTTATATTTTCGAAACGAAAGCGCATTTCGAAATTTCGGTTGACATTTCATGAGTTAGCCCATCTTACTGTATATTGACATCCTGGGCTCGACCGATTGAAGCATGGCCTGTGAACCAATCGATAAATCCGACGCGCATATGCCCGAAGGAAGCGTTATCGTGGGAATAACCGACAGTCCCACCGACCACGACTAAATGAAGGGTAGATATCGCAGTAGGGCAAAAATAAGCTAAGGGATGAGGACGATAATAAACTGAGAGTGGGAATCAGAAAATAAACTTCCTAAAAAGACTAAAATCCGATTAGAATCTCTGAAGGCGTGGCAGCCTGGGATAGACTTTCGAAGGACTGAGAACGAGGACGGACTTTTCTGTTGGCACGTTTTTTGTCTTTGCTAGTCACCGACCTCCAACTCGCAGATCCTGCATGCAACAGTGATAAAGTGGTTTGAAAATAACGGTGTTACCTGGTGACATAAACGGATTGCTTGGAGGAGCCCATTCATAGTTCATCTGACTTTTTTAACCACCCACAATACAACTGCGCACGGCAAAAGGCGTAGACTAAATCTCAAGTCGAAGGCGGACACATCGAAAAGGGGGAAAACTATCTGTCATAAGTACCCACTGCCACATCATGTCGTACTGTGTCGCTTTAGCTAGTTTAACGATGAAGGTGAAGTCTTCAATATGTTCTGCGTTGACTAAAAAAGCAGCCGGCATATCTTTTAATCGTCAAACGTGGTCAGGTATTCGGTCGGGAAAGCTTAGTTAGACCCAATAAAACCATCTCAATAAGCTGAAGCATCGATCTTGTCTTGGGTAGACAGAAAACGTCAATAACACACGCGTTCGGTCGCTGAAAACATTCACATTCCTGGAGACAGTGAGGAGGTAGGCAGTGCTAGAAAGTGGTGTATAAAAGACACCAAATACCATGAAAAAATGGCCAAATACTGCTTAAATGGGGCTGAGATAATCAGTAGGACACTGACAGCTCTCGCTTGCCTGCTTTCGGTTGGGCAGTCTTTCCTTCACAGCGTAAAAGGTACACCGATCATTTAGCATGTAACTTTCAATGACTGCCCATGATTCCACAGGGTCGGCGAGTTTTTAAATCGGAAGGAGGCGAAACATCGAATGCTCACATTAACCGTGTTGAAAATGAAACCTCCTTACACCAAAACCATCAGACTTTTAGACGAATTCGAACTGATCGAATGTAAACAAAGAGTAAGAATATGACAATTAATTTTGGCAGCCGCCGATGACTGTCTAATTTACGCCCATAGAGCGGAGCCGTTAAGGCGAGCAAAACCCGAGCTTGTGACTGTGTAGGTACATGAAGCTACGCACATTTCACCATGACGATGCCCCGCCTCGTCCAGCCAGCCGATTTTTCTAGTTGACTGGAATTGCAACATTCGTCAACTCGGCCGCTATTTCCTCCCCGCCCTCTTTTTGCAGGAGAATATTCGCACTAAGCGGCCACACCTCGCCATACAACAGCCCTAGAGGGCTCTGGACCGAGACAATTGGGCGAAGCGGAAAACCCCTTTTGCCTGCGTATTCAATGCAGATAGATCAGTGAAAGACAGGAACACGTGACCTCGTCCTGTTTAAAGGTTCGCAGACGTACTGCCAGTAGAGTTAATGCACTTCAACGGGCTCTCTATCACTCTACGGGTAGTCTTTAAATGGTCTCCCTGTGCTTTTGTGAACGAGGAAGAGCTGTTACAGATAACAGAAGGAAGGCTTTAATGACCGTTCCCGACTTGGTTGTGTTCGCCAGCCAGCCAGTCACACCCCAATCTCGAGCCGTTAAGATTCGATGCTGAGCCGACGGAGAGCGGGAATCCCGAAATGGCCATTTAGAGTTTATTTGTTTCAAGACATAAGATAGCGCTCTTTACCAGGCTGTTCCTTCACCTCCTCCTCCTCCTCCTCCTCCTCCTCCTCCTCCTTCTTCTTCTTCTTCTTCTTCTTCTCTTCCTTCTTGTTCTTCTTGTTCTTGTTCTTCTTCTTCTTCTTCTTCTTCTTCTTCTCCTCTTCCTTCTCCTCCTCCTCACTGACATATTTCCCGGCCTGTCCTGACCTTTCTCCTCGGAGAGTCTTGATGGATTATTCCAACGCCCACTTGAATGCAATGCTGGCCTTCTGGTTCACCCTGACCTCTGGCTTTGAAAACTCTTCTTCACGATGCCCCTTCCAAATCACCCCCACACACCAGGTAGAGTCTTGGAGAATCCTTTCCCAGTGCAGAAAATGCTGCATGTTACACTGTGCATTTTGCATTTTCTACATCATCTAGCGCTTCCTAAGCTGCTTCTGCTGCTGCTTCTCGTCGATTTCACTCACAATTGGCACTCTAATTGAATTACGGGCTTAATTGTATGCAGTTTTACCTGCTGATAAAAGTACAGCAACCCTGGTAGAGATATTTCTGTTTTAGCCCCTACCCCCTCCACCCCACCCCACTCCACCCTACTCCCAGTCCGCTAATTTGACCATAATAAAAAAAGGCCCCGAAAGTGCCTGCTCGACTTGGTAAGCCCACGGATTCGCAATAGAATTGATGTTTCACGACGATGAAGGAAGACCTGTTTGCACTTTACAGGCAATAATTTAAGCAACTGGCAGGTCCTACAGCGTCTAGAATCCACATGTCTATTCAGCTATCAGTAACGGTAAAAGTTGTTGGCACAAATTATGCAGAAATCGTGGGACAAGCGCTAAAACGGAAACAACATACGGGAAGCTATAAGAAGTGCAAGTAAACATGATGCTGGACTGTGTTGGACGGTCTCCGAGAGCCACTAAATATGGAGATGGTTGATTGAAGGTGACAATAACCGCATTTTGAGTGCATATATAAGGTCTGACTGAACTGTATTCACGTCTGAACGGGGGTACAAACGCAAACTACGCGGCCTATAGAAAACCGATTCCTAAAGGTATTCATGTGCTTGTAGTGTACATGCTAACTTAGTTGATGTTTTTGTATCTGTAGGGATATTTTGCCTGGTAACACGTTCCAAAAACAAATATAATATAGTGTATGTGTTACAATGAGGAGAAATGAGGGCGGCAGTAATGCCTACAGGCTTTGAAATCATTTTTACAGGAGAAACTGAGCGTAGTATAGGGCTAGCAACTGGTACTCACTCGCTAGAGCTACATCACTGTTTCAACAACAGATAATTTTATCATCTCCGTCACCATTCTGACGAATTTGTGTAATCAGTCTTTGAGAGAATGCGTTTTACGACGTCTGAATTTATTTATAAACTCCCAAAATGATGCTGTTGACAGTATGCTCACTTTATGCATTTCCCCGGACTGCAATGATTTAGACAGTCTTTTGCTATCTACGCCCATAATGATATGCTTTAATGTGCGCTCATCTTGCTTAGTGCAGGGTTTACTTTAAAGCCCAAAAATAATAACGCGCGGTATCCTAATACAGCTACACAATGGGGATTTTATTCAGTTGGTATGTTCCTACGCTTAGTCACAATGGCTCATGCTTATACCACAGAACTCAATACCTAGAGGATCCAGTGTTCCTCAATAAATGTACGCTTTGGGAAAGTGTTTTCTAATATGAGAAGAAACATATGAGGGTTGCTTTTGCTGATAGCGTTCTCATGGGCATCTCGAATGGTATTTGGCGATGACGTGAGAGAGGGCTGTTGAGGACTGCCGCGTTAACAGGCTAGGCAACGATTGGGTACATGACCCCACTGAAGTGAACGTGAGGCAAGGACTCATGCACTACGGCGGTGGTGGTTTTATGACTGAAGCAAACGAAACCCACAGACGGCTGTTTTTGCGAAGCAAGCGTAAAAGAACGCCAGTTACGTCATTGACTTGCCTTGGTCGCACTGCAGCATTGGGAGATATTCTGGCCTATCAGCGACTACATAAGCCTGAACGGCGGTGGCAGTATGCCTCCGAAACTCATCTATCATTTCGGCAACACTGAAACATAACCACTTTTCCCCCGAAATCACATGTTTGCACGGTTGCGACTTGCTTACCTTGGGTACACGTCTGCGTTTGTTCGTCGACTTCTAAAATGATGCTGTTGAAAGTATGCTCACTTTATGAATTTTCCCCGACTGCAATGATTCAGACTGTTTACATATCCACCCTCTCATATTGCTTAGTGTTCGGTAACGGCATGTGGTCCAAAGACGGAGAAAAACAAAGCGCGGTATCGTTATGAGTCAACATTGTGGAAATTTACTGCAATAAATACGTCGCAACATTTATCCATAATGACTTGTGGTTGTAAGGCAGGGATTAATACCCAGAAAATCCAGGATCCGACAGGAAAAACACGCATTAGAAATCGCCGTTCTAATATGAGAAGAAGGAAATGAGTTTTACAACGATTTTTGAGGACTTCGAAACTTCCGCTTTTCTAAAAATTGCTATTTATAAACAACAGAATATAATAATTTGTCATGTTTTCAATTCGATTAAAGCCGTTTATTATTAAGTGGAGGATCAGATGTGGTTATGTGGCCCCACCTAAGGTAAGCAAACCCCAACCCCATGTAATACCGGACCGGGATTAATATGGGTTTTTACGGGTGGGGCCGAGGAAAACACAGGAGACAAGGTCAGCCCGTTGTATGCAAAAAAACTATTGCGAATGCGCGGTTGGACTTTGAGTGACTGAGGAATAGTTGTTCCAACCCTTAACCCTAGCCCTAACTCTATCCGCTAACCCTAACCTCGAACTCTAACCCCTAACCCTAGCCCGTAACCCCAACCCCGACAGTACTTTGTCCATCAGTTGGGGGTACATAACCACACCTTACTTACGAGTCTCCGAATGCCCCATATTCCTTGATCGAGAAATGACCAGTTGGACTCCCCCTGTATTTGAGTCGACCTTGAACCAAATTCTGAGGAGGGTTGGGACTAGGATTAGGGACAGAGTTAAGGCTAGGACACAGAAGTAGGAACTCCCCAGGAAGTCAGCACGGGGGTGTCGGCCGAGTGACACGTGGGCACTAAATGACACAGGAACGACTGTGACACATCTTCCAAAGGCTGCTTTATAAATACTGGCATGAAGTCAATCACAAACCATCCATTGCCTATCCCCTCCAACTGAGTGGTCGTAAAAACCAGCAAATTACTTTCCCACGGGCACCTCAACTGTCTGCTTCTGAAGCGGAAGTGGATGCGAAAGGGGGAGGCATTGTCGTGATGTCACTAGTTACGCAAGGATACCGTCGACGCAAGCATTGTCGAGGTGGAGGCTGCCACAGTTAGGGACGGGGAGGTACAATTAGTTTTGTGAGCTAGTTCGGATTTGTAATGCATGGAAGCCCAAAATCGTCAGGGGTCTGCACATCGATGACAGTCTTCGCGCAATTAACCCTTTTCTCCTGATAGCAGCGAATTAGACCTCTCGCCTCCGAACTTTCAAATGTCTTGGAAGTGGTCAATAGGGCGCTGAATGTCGCGGCATGCAGACAGACGCTTCGACATTGAAGTGGTCAGTGTTTATGCCAACACTGTGTCCCAAAGACACGTGAAATATGAATGCCGGTTTGGTGCTTCAGTCAAAGTTGGACATTATTCCCTCTAAACTTGACCCGGAAAACCAAAAGTCGGCGCCCTTAAATATTTAAAACAAACAACGAACGCAACGTATCTTTGTGTTGTTGGAATAAAAAAAAACTTGTGCGTAAACGCAACAAGGCACAAGAGCTTTCATAAGGGCAGGAGAGGTCTTTTATTCGGAAAAGCTTAAGCTAACTTTACTCTGCAGATAATTGTCAGCAGCTCCACTTCTGATTGGAACGTTTGGATTTCACCAGTTTGCAGCACTCTCGCGAATAAGCAGTCGTTTCGTCGATTTTCGGAATCTCCTGCATGAGCATTCCGTTCAATCGCCATCCTCAAATACAGTAGGTGGCCCTACATCCACTACTATCCCAACAGTATGTCTGAAGTGTGATCAGCCAGATGATTTGATGTCCAGTCAATCACAAACCATCCATTGCCCATTCCCTCCCACTGAGCGGTCGTAAAACCCATCAGATTGTTTTCCCACGAGTACTTCAGATGTCTGCGTCTGAAGCGGGAGTGGATGCGGAAGGAGGAGGCAGTGCCGCGATGCCGCCAGTTACACAAGGATACCGTCGACGCAAAACATCGCCCAGATTGGGGCTGTCACAGTTAGGGGTGGGGGCACAATTCGTTTTGTGAGCAAGTTTGGATTTGTGATGTATATGAGCCAAAAATTGGCAGAGGTCTGCACATCGACGGCAGTCTTCGCGCGATTAATCATTCTCTCCTCTTAGCAGCAAATGAGCCGTCTCGCCTCTGATGTCCATCTAACTTGGAAGTGGTCAACAGGGCGTTGAAAGTGACGACATGCAAACAGACGCTTCGACGTTGAAGGGGTCAAAGTTAATGCCACAGACTATCCCACCACCGAATCCCGAAGATACGTGAAATGTGAATGTCCTATCGCGATCAATAAGCAAGGTTTCGTAAACCACGGCACATTTCATGAATTACCGTGTCCAACCAAATGTCACACTGGCAATGACGGTCACGGGCGCGACTGTTAGGCTTCCTTGGAGCAAGCCGCGCTGTCTGAAAGTCCAGACGGGCATCTCGTCGTTCAGCAGTGGATCCGATCATTTTCAACTTTTTTCGTGGAGTTTTTTTTCACCCCTCACTAATCATGTTTTTCAATAGACTACTAATTCAAACACTATGAAATGCATTTTGTAAAGACTCTGCCTACCTCGTCTAAAACTCACATGTAACTTTATTTTAACTTTCTTTGATGGGACCCCGACGGGTCTTGAATAAAAATTATCTATCGATCTATTCCTCAAAGTCCCTCCTTTGCTTTCTTAAGCTCCTAGATGTTGTCAGAATCTAATTTGTGAACTTAGGGTAAATTGATCAGACCAAGTTGTCTTGGGCTCTGTCCGAAAACTGACTTGAGTGATTGCATAGTCTTGACCGACCCTCTATTTTTTCCGTTTAAGGGACAGCCTTTTTGGCATCGAAAGACGACGTTCTTTCGTCCTGGCCAAGTGCTCTGTAAAGCGTACGCTGTAGGGCCTCTCTGCAGACATGAATATGAACCATTTTGGGGGTCGAAACAACGCAGCCCCAGTTTACTAGTAGTCTGGCACTTGAACATACCTTCTTCGGGTAGCATTGCCTTCGAAAGCGAAGGGGAATACGAGACTGATCGTTTCCCTCTGGTCTACTGTTATCCTGACCTCCGGGGAACCCAGTGTTACCAAGTCCACTTGCTTGTTGATGTTGCTGTTCTACCGTGTGGACGGCCGTCTCCGGCTCTTTCCGCGATGAGCCAGTTCACCACTCAACAGTCACCGTCATTCCCATGTGGTCGCCTCATAGGACACAGTTGATGCTCTAACCGACACACAGTCAAAAGCACGTGTTGGACTTCGGTGGAATTATTTATTCGAACAGCCGCACAAACGGAGGAAATGTACGATCGTCAACATTCGTGTCTTGCTTATGTGAAATATCCAGTCTACTTCGCAGGGCCAGACCGTGTGTGGTAAGTGTAGCCGTTCTGCTGAGCTTTGTTGTCCACTGCACCCAAGCCGCCTTCCGTCGTCCCCCCTGAATGAGAAGGGGATGAGGAAGGTGCTGCGTAAGTCGGCTGCAATTTCATCACGTGCGTTGGATGTTGGCGTGATGATTGCTCGACCATCTGACGCACCGACCCCGGTGTTGGGAAAAGTGTTCACCTCTGCGCTCCCCGCATGGCTTGTTACTCCGCCTAGGCGAAGTTTTGGCACGCAGTATGGAGGGGGAAGATCGTTGCACTTGTTGATGGACTGGGGGCCAGTAAACCATGATTCCAGTAGCTCCCGGCTCACGCGGTTGTCACCTCGTGCGAGAATTTCGGTTTCATCGAATTTGAATGTGTGGCCGGATCTCGTCGAATGAGCCGCAACTTGAGAGTTGGCGTCATTTCTGCGCACCGCTGCCGCGTGTTCGGCCATTCTCGTTCGGAGCTGTCTTCCGGTTTCGCCGACGTAGTTGCTTTGTCCGCAACTGCAACAGATCCGGTAAACGACTCCAGACGTTTCTAGCCGTGGCAGTGGGTCTTTCGGTTTCATGACCAGACGCCTGATGGTTGCCTCCGTTCTGTGTGCCACTCCAACCCCAAGTGGTGCGAGAAGGCGGCCGACAGCTTCCGAAACGTTCTTGACATACGGAAGTGCCCGCCAAAATTTGGTGTCCGTGCGGTTAGGCCTTTCGTCCCTTTAGGCCTTTCGTTAGGCCTTTGGTCCCTTTCGTCACACCAAGTGCGACGATCTCGGATGAAGGGGGGAGCCCTGAATGTTCATAGGTATGCGGTAACATGGCTACTGCATCCTATAAATACCGCAGCCCCTTGTGCAGCAACCACCCGTTTCTGCTTTTTTGTCTCTGATGATGGATTCGAGTAGGAATCCGAAACGTCAGGCTAATAAAGCTCTTGTCCCGGCGATCGTGTCGCCTTCTTCAAGTGAAACTACTATCAAACACCTGCCTAGAAACGTCAAAAGAGTTAAGATGAAATGATGCACTTTAAATTTCCTCGAGTCTGGCTTCATGTCAAAACACAAACCAAAACCCATTTTTTGGTTTTAAACAAAATGTAGTGGGAAGCAGGTGGAGGAAAGTAGTGTGCCCCGACAGCGATTAGAAAACTCGGGAGTCTGTGGCTCTTCGGCCAGATTCTCGATATCACCTTCATCAGTTCACTACTATTACTATCTGCATAGAAAGACTGCAATCATTCCAACATAAACAAAGTCTCATCTTCTTTTGAAATAGGTCACTAGATGTATCCAAATTGTAAGGATATATGACTCATTTAACTCGTCTTCTTTTCTTATGTTGTGAATGGTATAACCGGTAGGCCTGTTTACGAGGCGAGGAGGGTAAATATACTCTTCTTAGGCAAATATGCGGACAGGTTGACGCAGCGTAAACATGCGTGTTGTTCCTTGTTTGCTGCGTTATCACTCACGCGAAGGGTGACCTCGACGCGCTTTGAAGGTCAACCCGTCCGAACAAAAGGTCATCAGTAAAAGTACGTGGTCAAAAGCCCTTTAGGTGCAACAAAACACTTCAGACACGCGTTACTGACCATTCCCAGCCAGACGTACTAGCAGCCCCTCCCATGGAGGGCGAACGCTCTTCATTAAGGACCCAGTCAATACTTAATTTTAGGCATCACCTCTGAGGTTAGTTATGAATTTCCAGGATGCCTGAGTTCGCAAATGCAGTAGGCATATAATATGGTGTTTACTAAAACAATCCTCATGTGTTTTCACGGGTATCAAATGAAGCAACATTCTATCGATAAAACAGTTTTTTTCCACTTGAAACTACTCGAGCCTGACTGAATAATCCTAACATGGAATGGTGCCCACCTTTAGAAACGGACTTTTTTTGCACCTAGTTTACTCATGAATAAGCCCAACAACCTAGCACCAAAACGGTCAGACTACATGAATTTTAATGAATCGTCCCTTTTTTCCGATCAACTAGCACTTCGTCTCTCTTCACTTTTGCCCGACAGCCGTGCGCTTATGAGTTCCGCCATTCGTAAACGCGGGGAAATGTTTCGCTTGTTTATCCAGAGCAAGGGGTCTTCAGTTATGCGCGTTTCGGAAACTGGGGGGGGGGCATTCGTCGACGGCTCAAGGTCATTAGGTTGCCGCGATTCGGTACCCGAACGTGGAACAGAGACTTCGAATTGTTCGCACCTGACCGAACAGTATTGGGTTCTTATCAGTAAAACTGGTAATTTATTTTGAGAAGTGAATACTGATTTTGCTGTCCTAATTAGGGTACAGTGAGTGACCCATCTCATAAAATGTTGGTTGAAATTCTGAAATGCGTTTTCGATTTGGGAAGGATTACTTAGGCGCGGGTGAAATACTGATTATCTATCGACATAATCCTATAAAAGTTCGGACTCGGCAGGATGTCAGCCTTTGAATACAGTGCTTTTCAATCTCCTTTAGAGACCGAACTCGATGATTAATTGAGTAACATGCATTTTTCACATTGATTTTCGATGGTCTTACAAATCCAAATATACTTTATAGAAACCGCGAACAAATTATGCTTTCTTTCAGTCGTTTAATAGAGAATCGGGTTATCTTTATACATTATACTCGAAGAAGGAGTATAATTAGGTTTTTAAAAAGTTTTCTAATTCCCGAATAATTTGGAGCCTGATCAGTCATTGCATTAGCGGTTAGTGATTTCAGTATACAAGGTGCATGCATTTCGCGTAAAGAAAATCACATATTCTTTTGTGCCCTTAACAAGATATCATGTAGAGTTCATAAAACTTTGCAAAGAATGCTGACTATGTTGTACATTCCAAGAGGAGCGGTGGTAAACGGACAGGTAGGATGCTTCATGAGCGGCCATTGCAGGTCTAAAAAATCCTCATAATTGGAAACTATTTCAAAACCTAATTATACTCCTTCTTTGAATATAATGAAACAGAATACCTGATTCTCTATCAAACGACTGAAAGAAAGCATATTTTGTTCGCAGTTTCTATAAAATAGATTTGAATTTGTAAGACCCTCGAAAATCAACGTGAAAAAGGCATACTACTTAAGTAATCACCAAGTTCGATCTCTAAAGGAGATTAAAATGCAGTGTATTCAGAAGCTGACATCCTGCGGAGTCCGAAGTGTTATAGGATTATTTCGCAAGACAATCAGTATTACAACCGCGCATGAATTTATCCCTCATTCAGAATTTCGGCCAGCATTTCATGAGATCGGTCACTCACGCAAATAGCAACTGTAGAATTCCCTACGTTCTGGTATTCCGGGAGGGCAAATATATTTAAACTGAGTATTCATACTTTAATTCTACCAGTCTTTCATGAGAAGGTGGCTTCTTGTTGGAAAATAAGCTATTCAAGGTAACTTCAATGTAGGTTTCTTTAAATGTTCCTCTTCCCTACGGTAATTTGTATTCCAGGCATGCAAAAGCGTTTAGATTTTAAGTCATCAGATTATTTGATTTAGTCATTAGATTTAAGTTATCATAGGAACGTCTTTTGAAATCAGACTTAAAATGAACGTTGTCGTGCCAGCACGCAAAATGTATATCTGAACATATTAACGGCTATTTAAGGAAATACTTATGTAAATTTAGAACAAAAACCTCAATGCAACTCTCCGCCCTCAAACAGCTTATTTTATTTCTCATATCTGAATGGTGATGATGATGATGATGATGATGATGATGATGATGATG